CCGGAATATTTTACATAGGTATAGTACAAAAAAAGTCATCGATTTTTATTTGTATTTTTTTTATTAAAAAAAACGTGCGCAGACGCTCAATAAAGACAAAAAACGCTATCTTTGACCTAAATTAGTGATTTTTTGGTCAGATTTAGGAAAATCCCGTAAAAAAAAGTGAGTCTTTAGATCACAAAAGTCCTTAAATGCTTGAAAAACGACGATTTTAAAGCATACTTTTGATGAAATTTAGCGAAATAATTGCGTTCCTTTTTTGGTGAAAAAAATTTAAATAGCACCATTTTAGAACTAATTTGGTGATTTTTCGGATTGCTTAATAAAAAAAAATGATCAAACTTTCACTTTTTTGTCCCGGTTTAGCAAAATCTAAGTCTTTAGTTGAAAAAAGTGCTTGAACGCTCGAAAAAAGCAAAAATAATATCATTTTCGGTCAATTCGACATATTTTAGATGATTTTTGACAAAATCTCACTAAAAACAGGGTCTTAGCTCAAATACATGATTAAATGCCTGAAAAAGACAAAAAAAAAATCAAAATTTTTGATCCAATGTGACGATTTTTCGGCACGTTTTTGCAAAATAATTGCGTTTTTAGCTGAAAACGTGACAAAAAGCAAAAATAATGTCGATTTAGCAAAAACTCACAAGTTTTTATCTCAAACACTCATTATGAAAGAAGGCTGAAATAGTAAAAGAACACCAATTTCGAGATTTTTCGGTTTATTTTTGAAGAAACTCCTGGAAATAATGATGTTTTTCATTCAAAAACGTGTTAAAGTTTCCAAAAAAACAGACAAAAATAACACCATTTTGGACCTAATTTTATCGTTTTTTTTTATTTTTGAATAAATTCATTGAATGAATGACATTTTTGGATTAAAACTCATGCTTCGACCCTTATTAATTTTTGACCCAATTTAGTGATTTTTTTGTCTCGGTTTAGCAAAATTTACGGATACCTCCGTAGCAAAATCTAAGTCTTTAGTTGAAAAAAGTGCTTGG